TCAAAAGTAAAGATGCAATTGATAACTGAATATCTAAACTACTTTTAGATTTAAGTACTCTTAACATAGAACAAGTTCTGAAAAAATTATTAATGACGAATAGATATGATTATCCCAATTTAAATTTTTTTGAATTTGAATTCCTAGGAATTTAGAAACGGCAGAAAAATTGAAGAGGACATCATTGAGGGAATTGATCTCGTTATTAATCCTATTGACTACGAAACGACATTATTTTAGTTTTATCGTTATTAAGTAAAAGGTTATTAGAGTTAAACGAATTAGAAACTGCAATCATTGGGTTTAGTTTAAAACTGACTTCCTCAAAAGTCCTTTAATAATTAAACTTGTATCGTCGGCAAGAAGAATAAATTTGCAAAGATTTTATATAGAAAGAAATTTATATAGATTCAACAGTATGTTGAGCGTTTTTAAAAATATATTACAAGTAAGTAACTGAATATCAAATATGGACAAGGACACGAGATAAAATTTTAAAATTAATTTAAAAATCAGAAATTTATTTAGAAAGTTTCATCGCTTAACACAAGTTGATGCGAACTACAACAATTGGGTGTAGGGTAAAATTAAAAATATGAAATTTATTGAGTAACTTTAATTGCTTAAAACTCAAGTTGATGTGAACTATAACAATTAGGTGTAGGGTATACATGTATTAGATATACAATTCACAATTTTACAATTAAATAACAAAAAAAACAAATATAAAATACAAATAAAGGAATGCTAAAATAATTTAATTTTGTGTCTTGATATTACAAGTATACGAGGCATTCGGTCAGTGATCTTTCGAATATTAAACAAGGTTTTCCAGTAAAAGACAGTTCCAGCAGGTTACTTTAGCCAAGGTACCCATCCGCAACCATAAGAATCGGCGACCGTGACTTATGTTAGTGCGTATAACCGGCAACTCTTAAGAAAAGCAGCCAAACAAACGCGCCGTTGGTTATGAACACGTGCGAAGCCAAGCTAAGAAGGAACATATTTTGTATGTTTTCTTATTTTTTACGAGTTACTGTATATAATGCAAATAATACAAAATCATATTTGTATTAAACATGAATTAAGCGCAAATCGTTACTAATAATAAGTCAATTATGTCCTAATGTGTTCTTTTTAGAAGGACTATT